TTGAAAGGTATGAAAACATTATACAATAGTATATATAATAGTGTGATGTGTGTCAAACAATTAAAGGGGAGCATGTTTTACAGCATGGGTTATTACAACCCTTGTTTATTCCTCAATAGGTTTGGTAGTTTTTCACCAAGGATTTTATTGAGGTTTTGCCTACTTCTGAAAGATACAATTGTATCTTAGTGGTAGTTGATAAGTTTACTAAGTATGGGCATTTTTTTGCCTTTGGCTTATCCCTTTACTGCTACTACATTTGCTAAGGTTTATTTGGATACGTGTATAAACTGCATGGTCAGCCTTAACTTGCCCACTTCATCGAGATAAAATTTTTACTAGTGATTTTTGGACTAAGTTGCTTAAGTTTTTTGGTATTACTACCTTATTTACTATTGTTTATCACCTGGAGACTGATGGTCAGACAGAGAGGATGAATTAGTGTTTGGAGTAGTATTTGAGGAGTTTTTTATTTTATTTTTAAGCCTACTGCCTAAGCTAAATGACTATCCCAAGCTATATGGTGGTACAATACCAGTTTTCACTCAGCATTGGGCACTACTCCATTCCAGGCCCTCTATGGTTATACACCACCTACCATGACTTGGGGGACTGAGTCACGAGTAGCTGATGTTCAGACTCACATGCATGAACGAGAACACATTAGCAGTTTGTTACAAGAGTTAACAAAGGCTCAACAATGTATGAAGCAATATATAGATCTCAATTACAATGACAGAGAATTTTAGGAAGGGATGAGGTTTACCTTAAACTTCAGCTTTATTGGCTCTTCGAAATAATTTGATGCTTGCTGCAATATTTTATTGACTCTTCAAAGTTCTTCAGAAGATTGGGTAATACTTATAATTGGATTTGCCCTCTCATTTGAAGCTTCATCCAATTTTTCATGTTAGTTTACTGAAGAAGAAAGTAGGGGATTTAATGGTTACCTCACAAGATCCACTAGATTTGACTGTTGATGGATAAATTAGGGTTTATCTTATGATTATATTAGATAAATGGATCGTTAAATAGGGGAACAAGGCAACAACGCAACTACTCATTCAATGGTTGAATCTAGGGTAAAAAACACCACTTGCGAAGATTTTATAGTGTTGAAGTCTTAGTTCCCTGACTTCGATCTTTGGGGATAAGCATCGACTACTGGAGGGGTATTATAAAAAACACCACTTGCGAAGATTTTATAGTGTTGAAGTCTTAGTTCCCTGACTTCGATCTTTGGGGATAAGCATCGACTACTGGAGGGGTATTATCATGGCCCAAGATGAGGAATTGGGATGTGACTAGGAAATGGATAGAGATTTGATGGAATTGGGAATTGGGGAAGAGGTTGGGAAGAAAACTTCTCTTTACAATTTGGTAAAATTTTTGTATCTATAATTGAAGAAAATAAATAATTTTCATTAATTAAAACATTTGGTTTTACAAAATACTATGAGAGCATATTCAATACAATTCTCTTAGTATATGCCAACTAAATATAACAAGGTACACATGATTCAAAATTCTTTTCTGATCTGAACTTCGTAAAGGAGTGGCTAACCTGTCTTGCTCCTCTTAGTTTCTCTTCTTGCTTCTCGGAACCTACGTGTGAAACATTCACACGCTAAGTCGAAGACTTGGTGAGGCATTAAACTTATAACGAAACTCTAACTACTTCAACATATATGAACATATCATCTCATGATGTCACAAAAAACAATATATCATTATATATAATGTAATGTACACATATACACATCACACATTATTTTCATCACTAACCTTATTCCACTATCAATATTATTATCATTTATATCTTTTAATCATATCCTCTTGTACCTAACCTTTATAATCAACATATGACTTTTTTAACCAAACAATGCACACATCATCATATAAATCTTATAATACAATTCATATCACAAAAACATATACATCACATGTAATATGTTTATTGTTATCTCTTTGTTAGCCCATGTACACATGTGAGAACTAAAGATATGCGAGTACATAGAGGTTGTGCACATATGCTGTCACCACAGCTCGTAGAATTCCCACTAGGGGCAAGTAGAATTTGTCCCGAATGACCACTATGTCCCGAATGACCACATATAACACATATCACATATGTCTCGAAGGACCACTCCTTAAGAACCATATGCATATTCCAATGGACCAAATATGTGTCTCAAAAGGCCCTATAAATGCTTTAAAGGATACATATATGTCCCGAAGGACCACGTAGAACCCTTGACTCTTGGCATGCCAACTATACCTCTAGCTCTCCTGACACATAACATGGGCATTATCTTTCATATTTATCATATATTCACATAGTCACGTAGTTCACTTACACGTAGATCATTTTCATATAATTCACATGTCACATATATCACATAGCTCATCATATGTACTTTCTTTCATATATCACATGTCACATCTCATATCTTGTAATCATACCAGCACATTTCCTATTTTCATATAGCTTATTATTACATGTTATATATCAAATATACTTATATAGTTTAATATCATTGAACTTAGTTCACTTCCTCATGTTATCACACATACATATAATCTTCAATGAATCCTATAAGTAAATACTACTTATCTTATCTCATTTTCCCTTTATTCCAGTTTACATGATTCATTATACTAACCCATATGATAAAATATAACTGAAATTACTTGTCTCACATTATTTTTAAATACTAGTTTACTCTATTTATTTACTACAGTTACACATATTCCTATAATCTTCTTATAGGGTTTGGTAGTTCTTTATTCTATAACTCCTATATTATAGTTTCCTTTAAGTATATATCTCATCCCTATATCGTTTATCTTATAGTTTTGTATCATCATTTGTGTTTGTGTCCCCTAATTTATATATTATTCTCATAAAGTCTCATAACCTTTCTCGTGTAATCACTTACACCATATAATATAACTTATACTTGGTTATCTTATGTTCTCATATCTATCAAATGATTCTTTATCTTATATCTTATGTCACATGTTCCTTTCATTCCTTATGTCCTTATCACATAACTTATTTCATATTCTTATATAATCATATAAATAATTTGTACTATTTCACATAACTTATCACACTAACATATATTTACACACAAATCATGTAACATACACACAATATATCAACGCATATAAATCATAACAATCATATGCTTATATCTATGAACTCATACATTCTACTGTAGGAAATAGACTTATCACAAGTCTTATTTCCATTCATCATCATATAATAACTAATATGCATTCACCTTGCCTCACTAGTCAATATCAAATCTTTATCTCTTCTTGATGACTGTTACTTGACACCTTGTCAGGACATTGCTCTCGATTGATATCTACACAATCACGTATAATATACATATCATCATTCCACTTGGCATACTCTAATCTTTCATTTCTTAAATTAAAAGAAAGATCTATTTTCATTTTCCCTTTGAAATGTATCGGTACATCCCTTCATTTGTGTATCGGTACATCCCTTCACTGGTGTTTGGTACATCCCTTCACTGGTGTATCGGTACACAGCCTATGTATCAATATACAAATTACAGTAAAAAAATTTCATTTCAAGGAGGTATCGATACACTGCCTATGTATCGGTACCCTCTGAATATCTTCCTGAATTTTACTCTTGAGGTATCGGTACCTGTTGAATGTGTACCGATACCCCCTTGCCCAGAAATCACTTCTTAAGCCCGAAAATTCACTCTTATTCACTCAAACCTTTCATACTTTAATCCCATTCATATTCTTAACTCAAATATACATGTTTAAATCCATTTATACTCATCTAACACATCTTTACCTTTAAAATTCTATCCACCACATGAAATTCAAAAATCATACTAAATTTCCAACATGTTTTAAATCAAATTCTAACACTTCATATCTCTTAATTCAACCATTGACAAGTCAATTTTAGTTTCAAATTCCACTTATCAACTATATTCCAAGTTTTCATTCAAAAATTCTTAATCTTGAATCTCTCATAACTCCATCTTATGATTTTAAGACAACCTAAGCTTTTTTTAAGCTTATGTATCACCCAAGGATCATAACCCAACTTAAAATTCAACAAATAATCAATTAAAATCAAACTTACCTTGTTGCTATACCAAACGAGAGGAGGAAAGAAGGAAGAAAGATTCTGGATAATTCCCCCTTTTTACATGTATATCTCTTAAAAAAGGAATAAAAATATCTTTTTAACTGAAATTACCATAATGCCCTTCACTCTTTCCATAATCATAATTTAATTCAATTCTAATATATTCATTCTTAAGTCCCTAAACATTTAACTTATTTCAAAATTGAGCACAAAGTTTCTAAAATTTACATTTTAGTCACTAGTTCTGATTTTGGGATGTTACAGGTCCTGTTGTGAATAAATAATAAATGTGACTGTTAGCTATTGTGTGTAATGTTTTTTAAGGGTGCTAGGTGTGCTATCAGTTGAGTCAGCTTATGTCATATATGGGGATTGTAAAATATTAACAACCGTGAATGAAAATGTCGAATTCTTTTCTTCTAATTTCCCTCTCCTATTCTTCCTATTTTTCTCTCTAGATTCCTTCTTCGTTCTCGACATTTAACATGAAATGTTAAGGTTGTATGTGATCATGAAGTATTGTGGGAATTCATGAACGTTGTCTTCAAGGCGCTGCTTTACCTAAATCTGGAAACTGCCGAGTGGGTACGCATTGCATCAGCATGATTTGGACCTGTCGAGTCACTTCACAAATCAACTCAGTGTTGCTTCTCCTACGGCTAACAATAACATCGGCAACAACAGGCAACATGTAATGTCAACCTCCGCAACAACAGGCAACATGTTGCCCTAAACATTGTTACTCTGTTTCTGCACTTCGAAGAGAACAGGATACAAGTTACCTGAACCAGTGTTTAGGGCTTGTAACATCATCTACTCTTATTATATTATCAACTATATAGAACACAAAACAGACGAGGAAAATATCAAATACAAGATTTGGTGCACCAAAGTGTTCTCACCATACAAATTTACAATAATCCACATGCATATTTATATTCCTTAATGTTATGCAAGAAAAGCTTAGAATCATACACCACATTGAGGCTTGGCTAACCCTGATGGTTCAACCTTGGTGCTTCGGCTCGGCATTTCATTCAGCCAATGACAATCCTCAAAAGCACACTCAGTCTTCTTCGGCCACTCCACGTCGACCGTGTCGATGTAAAACGGAGACCATGTAGGGGTACCATCTTCGTAAGAATTGTAGGTCAGCCTCTTCAAATCAGAACCATCCAACTTGATGGTGTAAATCTCACCATAGGGTTGATAGTGGTGTGGGAGTGAGATTGGCTCAGCTGATATTCCTCCATAATCTGTTGTAAATGCTATTAACTTTCCATCCGGACTAAATGTCGGGTGGTTGGTCCGGCCGGATGACCCACTGCTTATCAGCTTTCTTAGTCCGGTACCGTTCGGATGGATCAGATATAGTTCAAAACTACCCGAATCTGGATTGTGTCGATCCGAAGCATAGGCGATCCAATCACCGTCAGGTGACCAATCACACATTGTGTCAGTCCATGGACCCTCTGTTAGTCTTTCAATCCCGCCTATCTCCCCTTTGATTGCATCCATTATATATAGATTCTTGTAACCCGATCGACTAGACCTGAACACGATCTTTTTTCCATCCGGTGATGGCGAGGGAAATGCATTATTTTTACCATCTAGGGTCAACCTTTTATAATTCGATTGACTAAGATCATCAACGTCAACGGCTACAATATCAACTTCAGTAGTCACACTCGTAAACTCCGGTCCGGCACTTGTGTATACAATTCCTTGCCGAATCGGGTCCCATGCGGTTGCAAAAGCATTCAAGGAGAAAACCTGGCGTAGGTTTGAACCGTCCCGGTTCACAATATAAATACCAGGGAACTCCACGTAGGCTATTCGGTCGCCCGTTGGTGAGAAACTAGGAAATGAACCCTCGACTCTAAAAAGAGAAAGATTTGGCACTAGGCTTGCAACGTTTTCAAGCAATAATTGGGAAGATTTTCCTCCGTTACTTCCTCCCCTACACTTATGGTACCCAACTCGGGTTGAGTCGGGTGATATAAACGGGTTTAAGTGATGACTTGTAGGAGAAACATGCCGAGTTAGCTCAATGAACTCGTTCTTAACAGTGTCAAATAGCTCAATGTGGCGAAAACTATAATTGGGTCTTCTTGTAGCTACTGCTATGAAATTATAGTTACCTGGAGAAGTAGCTGGGGTGAAAGCGTGGAGACCCGGTGGTGTGACGCGTTGAATTGTCACTGCCTCGATCGAAACCGGTTTGTGTTTAGGTAAAATCGCTTTATAAACACTTATCCACTGGTCTTCACTTCGCCTATGGAAATACAGAGTTGAGTCATCAACCCAGCAAGGCCACCCACCATGTTCAACAATCTTGACTCGGTGACTCCCATCACGAGTCAAGAAAACATATACATCGGTACTCAGTTCTTCCACTTCCCCATCCCAACCATCTCTCCCATACGAAGCAACGGCTGTCCAGACCCCAGACGGAGACACAGCGGGGCTAAAATCGGCGATTCCGTGAGGAGTGAGTCGTCGAGTCAATCCGGTTCCTAAATGAGTGGAGTACACAGCAGCCCAACTCGTCCTGGGTTCACCCGGATCCTCATGATTTGACACGTAAATCAAATTCTCCCCACTCAAACTCGGCTTATCTTTCATCGAAACCCGATTCCTGTTTTCTTCTAAACTCAACAAAGGTGCCTGAAGTCGGACGGGAATTTCAAGTGCCGATCTCGATCTAGTACTTCTCGGCGTACTGTAATAAAGCGCGTCATAGTAAATATTGGACGTACCGTTGCGTTCCGTCACATAGATGAGCTGAAGCGCCGGCAGCGGAGCTGTTGGGGCTTGAATTAGGCTTCGGTTGTGCAACAGCGAGATAATAGAGGAAGGTGAGGACGAGGGGAAGTGGCCATTGAAGTTAACGGATTCACCGTCGGTAACCCGGAGTTCATTTGAAGGACTTGGTGGGTCGGAAGTTGGAAGCGTGAAGATGTCCCAATCGTAATCCGGTCGGCCAAGTGTCGTAAAAACGATGGTTCCCCCGTTGATCGAAGCTTCATTCTCTGGCGCCGCTGTGCACAGCAAAGCGAAGAAGAAACGCAGAAGAACGGGGGCGTAAAGTGATTGGGGTTTCATAGCTTAGCTTTACTAGCACTGAACTGCCTTTCCCCAGTGGAGATGGGTTTAGTGGCGTTTAATTCCAAGGGAGATCTTTTAATGTGATAAGGGATGACATGGTTTCTTCATTCATAGACACGTGTCAGTACACTGAATCATTAGATTAAATTAGTGCTAATCTTATTTTTAAATTTTTGTTTTTATTTGTTTTGTCAATTTTTATCCAGAAGATGCAATCAGTATGATGTTAATGTTCTCCTTTTTTGCCCCCGAAAAGAAGACCTTTATTTTTTTTGTGGGTCTAAATTTTTTTGGGTATTTGTTGATTTCTTTAACATATATATGGAATTTTCTCTTTTAAAATTTTTTAAAATCACGAGTTACGTTGTTTCTACAACATTCTGCATACAATTTTCAAAAAATTCAAAAACTATACTGAAATTTAGTGTGTAAAAAATATCAGACATACATTATTTGATCCGTTGATTTACTTATTCAGTTAAATATTCGAATTTAAGGGTTTCGTTATTCTTTTTGGATTTTCAGATCTAATTTGAGTCACAAAATTTGTCTTAGTCGAGTACCCGATTATTCAATATTCAATTTTTTTAATTTTTAATTTTATATAAAATATATCGCTCTCCATTTTTAAATAATTTCACATCAATTTTTAAATTATTAATTTTTTAAATCATTACATCAGAATATTTGATTTTTTTAAAACATTTTAAATTTAGTTTTATTTTTCGTTCTACTTTTATATTTTAAAAGTATATCTTTATATTATGTAATCTGAACTTTTGGATTTTGTGTGGATTATATAATATATATTTTAAAAATTTAAATTTCATATTTTTCTGTGGGTTTTTTTTATAAAAAAAACTGATATAATTTAAAAGAGTATAAATTAAATATGAATTAGATACGTGATTCAAAAATACCGAGTTCTGTAAGTATCATTCTTCCGGATATATAGAGTTGAAGGGCAGGATGATACTCAAAATTTCCAATACCAAACATTTCAAATATCCAAAAATGTGGACACCCGGTTATAAATATCCCTACAAAATCCACATCCTTCTTTTGAATCGGGTTAATAAAACTCGAATCGATTATAAAATTTGATTTTTTGAATTGAATCAATTAAAAAAAACTTGACTTGAATTGATTTTAAGTCTTAATTTTATAAACTCGACCCTACTCGAAAAAACTTCAAGTTTAAATCGAGTTGTACTCAAATAATTCGGATAGTAACTTAAATTTTTTAGTAATTAATGGATTGATTTTCAAGTTTTAAGCTAGCCCCTTAACTTTGTATATCACATATATATAAAATATGAATATATCTATATATCTATATATATATATAATGCATATGTTTATAAAAATCATTTAAATTGAAATCAAATAATATCATAAATATTTATAATTAAATTTAAACATAAACTTTAAAATTCGACTCGAATTGAATTTTATAAACTTGACTTGACTAAAAAAATTTTAAGTCAACTTCGAGTTGTAAAATATGACTCATAAACTCAAATAACTCGAAAATGTTTTACTCGACTTGACTAAAGTCGATCATACTCACCCCTACCTTCCTCCAACAGTAGAGAGCTTATCTCCCATTCCATTATGTCCTGAGTTTAATACCTAATATAATAAAAATAAAAATAAATTACATGTTTAATCCTCAATTATTATTTTTGTTTCGTTTTAGTCATCCAATTATTTTTTTTAAATCATCCTTTTCAGTTACCCATAATATAAAAAACAACTGCAATACCGAAGTGGGCAATATAAGGTAATGACACGTCATCATTAAAAAATAAAATGTCACTTCAGTAAATTTATTAATTTTTAATGGTAGGTGACCAAACTGAATTAAAAATATAACATTAGGTATTATTTCGAAAAAAATAAGTGGGGGACTAAAATGAAACAAAAGTGATAGTTGGTGTGTAGTTTATCCTAAAAATAATAATATCCCAAACCATATGCGGTGTTTCCCACTGCTCTATTGTCTAAATGAACAAAGCTTGAACGAACAAGGTTATGTTATTTTTGAAGTTGTTCATGTTCGATTCGTGTTCGTGTTTTATTGTTCATGAACATGTTCATTCATTTAATGTTTACAAACATGTTCATTTGTAATTTCACGAACATGTTCTTTTAGCGTTAGTTTATATGTTTAATTTTTAGTTTACCCTTTCATTTGTAAGCTAAAGAAAAATGATAAAAATTACACCACCAATACTTAAAGTCCTTAAAATTCATAATTTAAAATTTAACTTTTATCATGTGTTAAATTTAGTCCCTACCTTCACTAATATAAAAAGTAAAAAAAAAGGAAAAGGAGAACTAGGTAAACAAACTTTTACATGTACATAAATGAACGAGTCAATAAATGAGCTCATAAACGAGTTTGTTTGTGAACATAAATGAACAAGTCGATAAACGAGCTTGTACGTGAACACACTAGTGGAGATGGACTATAACAGGGTTGTCATACAACACCCCAAAATTTTTTGGAAAAAGAAATATATATAAATTTAATATAAAAATATTAAAAAAATAAAATTAATATATTTTTAAAAGAATATTGACAGAAATGACCATCCAGCTCAGTTGGTAGAGCACAAGGTTCTTAACCTTGAGGTCGTGGGATTGAGTCCCACGGAGGGCATTTCATAATTCGGAGGTCTTCTATGGAAGTTGCTCTTAACTTGGTGTTGGGGGCAACCTACTATCTTACCTCCCCTTACCCCATTACATTTGGGAATAAGGGACAATCATTTTTAAAAGAATATTGACACTCTTAAACATAAATTGACACATATTATTCATTTTTATTCACTTAAAAAAATCTTCATATAATTTCTAAATTTGACACCCTACAATTAATTTTTTTTCTAAATTTGACACCAAAAATAAATTTTCTAATTCTGTCATGCGTGAACATAAATGAACGGAACACACCTTTGTTCGTGTTCATCTATTTATTAAATGAACATAAAATATTTTGTTCCTACTCGTTTGTTTAGCTTAACAAACAAACATGAACGAACGTCATTGATATGATTTCGATTGTGTTTTTACTGAATCATATGATGTTGCTCTATCGTGATTCTAGTAAGTGCTTGCACTTGCTCGCTTAGAACCTGAAATTATAACTTGTAACATGATAAATAAAGATAGAAATGTAAACGATGTTGAAGGATTGGTGATGTGATGGTTATAGTAATTTGGAAATAGTGTGGAAGGTAATAAACTTGCTCCAATCCTAAACATGATGCATCACATTCAACTTCAAAGATTTTAGTAAAATCAGGTAAGGTAAGTAAAGGGGCATGAGTTAAACAATCTTTAATGGAATTAAAGGACTTCTCTTGATCTTCACCCAAAAGAAGTTGAAATTCTTCTTGATAACTCCCGTCAAAGGGGTGGATAAGGTGCTAAAATTGGGTATGAAACGACGGTAGAAGCTAGCGAGTCCGTGGAACTCCTAAGTTAACTAATGCTTGTGGGTCATGGTCATTGTTTAATTGCCTTGACCTTCTCTTGATCCACTTCTAATTCTTTAGAACTCATGATAAAACCTAAGAAAAGAACTTTGTTAGTGCAAAATGTACACTTTTGTAAATTGGCATAAAGCTTTTATTTCCTCAAAACATACAAAACTGATATGAGATGTAGAACATATTTATTCATAGATTTGTTATATATGCTAATATAATCAAAATATACCACAAACAACTTACCCAAGAATGGTCTAAGGACATGATTCATTAACCTCATGAATATGTTTAGTGCATTAGTTAAGCCAAAAGGCATAACTAACCAGTCATAAAGTCCTTGCTTTTTCTTGAATGCAATTTTCCACTCATCACCTTCTCGCATTCTTATTTGATGGTAACTACTCTTAAGATCAATGTTACAGAAAATGTTAGATTCACTAAGTTCATCCAACATATCATCTAAACGTGGAGTAGGATGACGATATTTTACTGTGATTTTGTTTACTGCACGACAATCTACACACATGTGCCATGATCCATCTTTTTTGGCACAAGTAGAACCAACACGACACAAGGACTAACATATTTCCTCACATAGCCATTTTCCATCAATTTGACTGCTTTCCTTTGCAACTCTTTAGTTTTTTCGAGGTTACTTTGGTAAGCTGGTGGATTCAGAATGGTAGCTTTAGGAACAAAATCAATTTGATGCTCAAAACCATGAATAGGTGGCAGCCCACTTGGAATCTCTTCTGAAAATAAGTCTTCAAATTCCTGCAATAGTAAAATAATAGAATAAGGCAAATTTGGGTTAAGGTCATTAGTGTTTAAATAGTTTTCCTTGTACACGAGTACAAGTACCATCCTTTATGAAAAAAATCACTTTTTATTTCCTTTCCCCTCGTAAAGATACTGATTTTCTTTCCCTCATCTTTTTTATTCTCTTTTCCCTCGACTTTTCCCTCACTCTTTTTGGCTTTCCCAACACTATCGCTCAAATGGATTTGGTCTTTGTGGACTTGTTTTGGTGAAAGTGGGGCTAAGGTGGTATTCTTCGCTTAATGAGTGAATGTATATCGATTGCTATATCCATCATGAATCACTTGTCTATCAAATTGCCATGGCCTTCTGAGTAGTAGATGACCAACATGCACCGGAACGACATCACATAACACCTCATCTTTGTATTTTCCAATGGAGAATGAAATGAGAACTTGCTTGGTGACTCTAAGTTCCCCTTCATCATTAAGCCATTGTAGCTTGTAAGAATGTGGATGCTTTGTTGTTCCTAGGCCAAGTTTATATACCATCAAAGTACTAGCAACATTAGTACAACTACCTCCATCAATAATGACAAATCATATATCCCATTAACATGGTAGCTAGTATGAAATATATTCTCGCGTTGTTCATCCCCATTTAACGACTTGCACACTTATGCTCCTTTTGACTATAAGGGCATCTCATTCAACAACATAATCTAACTTTTATTCTTCTTCGTCTTTGATGGGAATGTCTTCTCCTTCATCCTTCTCTTGGTCTGTTTCAATCTCCCCATCATCTCAAAGGAGCATAGTATTGCGGTTTGGGCATTGGCTAGCAATGTGCCCTAGCCCCAAGCACTTAAAGCATTGTACATCACAGGACCAAGCGGGATTGGCCGGACTCTTTTCTTTGCTTGTTTCAGAAATAGGCTTGTTTCTCTTGGGTGGTCCCTCTATTTCATTAAAAGGAAATAGAGAACTCTTTTGTTAGGGCTTTGTCCCCATTTTAATGTAAAACTCCCATAGGTAAGTGAAGTCCTCTTTCTCTTGAGTTGTTTCCCCACCTTCATGGCCATATGCACCATGTCTTTAATCTCCACATAATGTTGCAACGCCACAACATTGGCAAAGTTAGGATCAATACCCGCTAGAAATATTGCCATTGTGGCTTCTCAGTCTTCGTCTATGTTGTTGGGATTGCCGGTACACCCCATGATGCAACGAAAAAATTATCAGACGATATCACCAGTGATTCAACTACAAAAAATCAAATTTGGGAGGAAATGATGCGAAATTCACCTCGGGTTCCTGGAATAACATCAAACCAACAATCATGTCACAAACATATCAAATCCTAAGCCTCCACGAAAAAGTGTCTCAGCCTTTACTCAGTTCAGCGGATTGAGAGCAAATTTTTCTTTTCCGAAAATTGTTATGAAGAAAACAGTGTAAATAGTAGAAACGACTGCTAGGCCATTCTTTTTCTTTTTATAATGTTGTTGCCCTAATCCTTAGGGTTTAATTTTGAATTTTATTAAAAGAAGTATAATTACTCTAATTATATAATTTTAATATTTTATTTAACATGTTAAGTATAATATATATATATATATATATATATTAATGTCAATCATACATTTTATTTATGTACAATAAATTTGTACATGTATAACTCATTTATTATTTGCTCATCTCAACTCTAGGGTGTGACCCTATAGGTTTCTTTATTAGTAGTAATATTAGAACCATTCTAATATTACAAACAATGTGTAAGATCTAGCAATATATATTTGTTGTCTAAGTTACAAGAAGTCATGATTCTATGTAACCTCTTCGTGACTAACTTATTTATGTATTATATCATTTTATTCTTTATATATAAAATAGGAACAAGTCCTGGAATAATCACACGTGTATAGCCATTTAATATTTCTTGATATCTAGAGTAGATTACAATAAACGAACAACTTATGACATCTCATATCAACCTGTTCGAGCATGGTCATGTGTTTATAGTCTCACTCAATCAAGTGGCCTGTGATATAACTCCTATTACGTAAGATGAATCCTATCTTTATCATTCAAACCCCACTACATATATCATGTATGTTCAACATCAGTCTTTATAGTGCAACCAATTATGGAGCGAGTTTGACTGTATCAAAACACACGACTATATATGTTGAGATAGTAATGATCTTAAGTCTGAAGATATACATTTAGTCACCACCATTAGCAATGTTGTGACTGTCACATCATAATCCAATAAATATGCTTATAACGGGTCAGTCAAATATGTTATTCTCTAACAACATAGTCTTGCATCGATTTTGACATCTCTATGTCAATGACAACTCATTCTCATCAATCAACATGTTAGCCTTAAATGTATTATTATTGTCCATGCCCATAATAATACTTGACTAAGGACCTTTCAATAATAATCATATTATTATATGGACGTTATTATCTTTTATTTTATTTACTACATAGAAATATAACTAAAGAAAATTAAAATATTTCTTTATTCAATAAATCAGGTAAAGAAAGTATATCAATACAATCATCACATGATTGATCTTTGAGCATACTCTGACATATGTTAGCATGAATCATGGCCACCTCCATCTATTTGTAATAGTCTTCCACGTTCCAATTTCCTTGCGTGAGATTTTGAAGCATATTGAACAACTCACGATGATAGTGGGTTAGAATGCATCACCACTTTCTTCTTATTCCAATTAGAGATAAAACATTCTCCATTTATCCTTCAACTAGTACTAATTTGATCCCACCAAATTAGTGCATAATCCGTAAACTCAATAGCAGCGAGTTTGACCTTCTAAAGTTCATAATAGTTGTGGCACTCAAAGATGTGCTCAGCCTTATTTTCCCATGCTAGGTAAGCCTTGGGATTTGTCTTGCCTTGGAAAGGTGGAATGGAAATCTTTATGTTGCTAAGGTTGTCATCCATTCGTGGATGAAACCTTTGAGGTCTCACACCTTGATTTCCTTGTAGTGAGGTGTGCTCTACTTCTGGCCCTCCAACTTCTTCTTGGTAGGCATCATCTCCTTGATCTTGCCTTTGCCTCATTGGAATTTTTTTATCTTTAATTCGATCTATTATTTAATAAATTGGCTTCAATTCTTCCCTCAATAATTTAGTCAACTCAGGAACCATTACTTGCATTTGTAGATTAGGTACACCACCATCAATTTGGTCGTCATCTTCTCATGAAATATGAAAAGTGTCTCTAGAATGGTGAGACATGATTAGTAATAAAAATGAATAATAGCCTCCCCAACACAAAACCTATCCAATTCACTCCAAAAGAAAAGTCACTCCCACTCGTGTTTCACTCGGGATGGATTTTACCCTTGATGTGCTCTCTCGCCTTTTACCACTCTTGCTCAGTTTTCAAGTCCTATAGGAACTTCCTCAAGGCTTGACAATGCCTCTTTTAGAATTCGACTGAAACAAAATGGTTAGTTAGTACGAAGAAGTGTGTAGGGAAAAGAGTGACTTTACTTTTTGTATTTTCCTTTTTTTGAAAATTCTTTTTTTTAATTTTTTTACTAACCCGAGAGAGAGAAAATCGATCTTACCGAGTCTTTGTAGCTCTAATACAAAATGATATGATTTTGGTTTTATTGTTACTGAATCATATGATGTTACCATGTTGTGATTCTAGTAAGTGTTTTGCACTTGTTCGCTTAGAACATGAAATTGTAACTTGTAAAATGATAAAGAAAGATATGAATGTAAACGATGTTGAAGGATTGTGATTTGATGGTTATAGTAATTTAGAAATAGTGTGGAAAGTGATGGAAGTTGTAGTTTAACGAAAAGGAAAGATGGTGAAGGTGATGGATGTTAATGGCGTGGAATATGTAGGGATGAACGAAAGGTGGATTGTGACTCACTAGCTATATGGAGCTAGGAACCAACAATATAAAATGATGGTTTGAAATAGTAAGGGATGGAACGTGACCCTCTAGTTATAAAAAAGCTAGAAACCAATGTTATAAACAAATGAAATGGATAAAGACCATAAGAACAAACTTGAACACGATAAAGTTCTTTAAAAGAACTAGAAAGAAAGCAACTCTCAAAGAGGAGTTTTATATATCAAAGTTGTGTGTTTTAAAATGAAGAAATGGTGCCTATTTATAGTGTTCAAGTCTTAATATGAATACTCCAAAAGAAAATGAATGCTTTATCTTAATGGTGATGAATGCACTTAAATGGCTTGTCTCTTCTCTTCTTCCTTGATAGTCGAATATTCTAGAGAAAAAAAGATGAATTTGGGCATATTTTAGGTTGAATGTAGCCACATTTTTTTCCAAAAGGAGGAAGATTCTTGATCTTCCATGGCTTGCTTTCTTATGAAGGAAGAAAGGATGAATGTGGACATCTGAATAAATGTAGACAACCTCACATCTAAGGGGGAGTGTCTCTTGGAATTATATGCTCATCCTCATGCTAATTACCCTTATTGAATGTCATAATATTATGAATTAAGAAGGCCTTTATTGCATGTCCCTTTTTAGAATTTGAAAAGTCTCCAAAGTGGTGATAAAGAAAGGCTTGAATGATAGAATTGAATGCACGTCTCTCATGTAGAATATAAAAGGTGAATCTCATCCCAAAACGTCCATGTACCTAGACATAAGGTTAGTACACATTCAATCTTGAAAAAAATAAAATAAAATAAACATGTCATGCAAACATTAAAGGAGCTAGTTTAATTAATGAACCAATTTAATGAATGAACTAGTTTAATTAGTGAACTAGCTTTATTTAATGAATAAAATACTTGAGTGAAATAGTTAGCTTAAAGGAACTAATGCCTAATGAACTACACGCTTGCATTAAAGAAACTACATGCTTTACTGAACTATGTGCTAAATGAAGTACATGCCTGAAAGATGTAACATGTTTATTTATTTATATGAATTTATTTTATGCAAACTTAAATACTCCTGCAAGTTCATGCACGAGTAAAAGTTGGTAGTCCTCCCTTAAACATGGTGTTTTCTTCCTCACGACCCAAGCTTGGCAAAATAAAATTTCCATGCCTAATAAATATTGTTTACATAGAATTGAGAGTTAATATGGAGAAAAGGCCCATTGATATAGTAGGTTGTAAAAATCGACATATTGTTTAATAATTTTATAAAGATGAAAGGTGAGATCCTAAGCTCGAGCTCCTGTTGTTTTTCATGAGTCGTCTCTGATAGAAGTGTGGTTTAATAAATGAAATTGATTTGGGATCATGGGTTTTCGACGAGGACTTTTATAGGATGGAAAGAGGGTTTCTCAGCCCATCCAAAAATATATTCCAACTCCTATATTAATGTGGTTATCAATAAATATTATAATAGGAACAATAGGAGATTCATTGGAAAACTTGATGATCACATGAGAGGAGAGTTGTGAGATCTTTTGAGACAACTAGAGTAGAATCTGTTGAAACTTTGTAACTTTGACATGGTGGTTGGAGGTTGCCAAACGATAATAGTCAACAGAGTGAGAGACCATCGACTATGGGTTGCTTAAAGGGTTAGGGTTTATTTTCAGAAAAGTTAAAGAACAAAGCGTAAACGTTAAAAACCAATTCAAATTTTACTAAATGAAACTATCAAGTACCATACGCGACCCGTTACATTTGTGGCTTTTGTAACTCAATACCATTAAATTGTAATTGACTCAACAAACTTCTAACTGCTTATTCAGCAAATTAACTAATTCATTAACAATCCAAATATTTTATTTATCTAACATTCACCCTACTTCTTCAAGTTTCTTTTCTTTAGGCATCAACCATACTTGATGCCAAACTCAAAACATGAAATAACAACCATGCATGATAGTAAACCAAATCAGTCAAATATGAACCAAAACATGAACTGAGTTGAAGAACTAACAAATTAACAAACAAAAAATACACTTATACTACAGCTCTCTCTGCTCTCAAGATCAACACTAGCAACAAGTAACTTTCAACAACAATCATAACAAACTAAGGTCACCCGTAAAAACAAATTGCAACTATGTGAATGAACACGTGCATCAAACATCTGCATATCAATAAGAAAATATCCAAATTCTCTAAGGTAGTTTCTCAACAAATTCACAATTAGTACTATAGGAGTTGATCAA